TCATGTTGCTGCTGATCTGTTTCATGTTGCTGCTGATCTGTTTCAATGTTGATGTGTTCATGCGTGCTCATCTGCTCACAGACTCATGTTCATGTTTGTGCTGATGTTCAATGTTTTATGTTAAGAGTGCTTAGTGTATATTTAGTTGATGTTTTTCTTAGTTCATATCTTAGATGTTATTACTGTTTTTCTTATACATTTTATTGTTGGATGTAACTGGGACCCTGCGTACATAATTTCGCTCCACCACATGTACCACATGAGGTGCGAATGACAATAAAGAAACTCTGACTCTGACTCATGCTTTAGAGGCAGAAAGGTTCCTTCTTATGAACACCTTCTACCAGGTTGTAAAACTATAATAATTATTCCGTCACGGTCTCCAGATCTAATGGAAGTGACAGGTTGATCTCTTGACTGTTGTGCAGTGCAAACGTTCAATTTGAAATCAAAGAATAAAAACGAGGCGAGGTATCGGATTTTATAGAATCAGTAGCTTAAAGCACTAAAAGTAAGAATATTTATTTATTTGGAAAGCCAGATTTGGGACTAAGAAAGAAACAATTTGAGTAATATGTTATGAAGCTAATCTCGTCTCTTTGAGGTGATGATGGGCTTAATGTGGCTCTTAATGCTGAATTGGTTCACCACCCCGATTTGGATAAATGGACTGTACTTATATAGCGTCTTTTTATCTTATTTCAAGATACTCAAAGCTCTTTACACAACAATCTGTGCCTCATTAACCCGTTCATACAGCTCTCTACTAGATCTCTACAAAGCTAATTGAACAAATCATTCTAAAGAGACTAATCAGAGCTTTAGATCACATTCATACACCGTTGGGACACACATTGGAGGCTATGAGGGGTTCAGTGTCTTGCCCAGGGACACTTCAGCATGACTGCTGGTGGATTTGAACCCCCGACTCTTGCATTGGAGTACGACTGCTCTAACCACTCAGCCGCAGCCGCCCCCATGGGTGATCCAGAGGAGTCATGGGAGAAAGTTCTGTGGTCAGATGAGACCAAAACAGAACTTTTTGGTCTTAATTCCACTCGCCGTGTTTGGAGGACGAAGAATGATGAGTGCCAGCCCCAAAACACCATCCCTACTGTGAAGCATGGGGGTGGAAGCATCATGCTTTGGGGGTGTTTTTCTGCACAAGGGACAGGACGACTGCACTGTATTAAGGAGAGGATGACCGGGACCATGCATTGTGAGATTTTGGGGAACGTTGAAGATGAGTCGTGGCTGGATCTTCCAACATGACAATGACCCGAAGCACACAGCCAGGAGAACCAAGGAGCGACTCCGTAAGAAGTATAAAGGTTCTGGAGTGGCCTTCAGTCTCCAGACCTAAACCCTATAGAAAATCTTTGGAGGGAGCTCAAACTCCGTTTTTGCAGCGACAGCCCAGAACCCTGGGTGATCTAGAGATCTGTGTGGAGGAACGGACCTAAATCTCTGCTGCAGTGTGTGCACACCTGGTGACAAACTACTGGAGACCTTTGACCTCTGTAACTGCAAACAAAGGCTACTGTACCAAATATTAACATTGATTTTCACACGTGTTCAAATACTTGTTTGCAGCAGTAACACACAAATAAATTATTTTAAAAAATCTTGCATCGTGATTTCTGGATTTATATTTTTTAGATCAAGTCTCTAATGAAAGATGAAAATTTCAGACCCGTCCATGATTTCTAAGTGGGAGAACTTGCAAAGTCGCAGCGCGTTCAAATACTTATTTTCCTCACTGTAAACACATAAATACATTACAAAAAACTCCCACCTTAGTATAGACAGATCCCATTTCCGTTTTTATTGTTTTCTCAAAATCAAGCAACACATACCGGTCATCAACTGAAACATTTCACACAAATATCACGCAGCATTTTCTCTCCGTGTCACACAAGTTGAACTGAACGTCCTCCAGAACACACATCTCATTCAAACTATGTAAACAATCCACTGCAAAGCTGTGTTGAAATTCATACAAAAACTATTTCTTGCTCCTTTTATTTATTATAAAGAACGTCTTATAGAAGGGCAGCACAAACTTGTAAATATCGTACAGCTGTTGTTGCATATTGTTCAGTTGTGTTCATGTATTGTTCAAATGTGTTCACCCCCTCAAAAAAAATAATCCCAATACACAAAACACCCCACAGCATTGGTCACGTTTGTACCAGAACTTCTGAAATACTGCAGTCATTGAAAAACAATAAAAAAAAACCTACACTGTTGAGGACCAAGCTTCTGTATGAATATTACTGTGTAAAAAAACATGGCAGCTTTGTGAAAGTCCTGCAGGTCTGCTCCTCTTTAGGACCGTGGAAGAACCTGAGCGATGGTGTCTCGAGCACTCTGACTGAGACGTTCTGGGAACTTCACCTCAAAGTCCACTATCAGGTCGCCTCGGCGGTCAGGTCTTTTGGGATAAGGCAGCCCCTCCCCGCTCACTCGCCGCTTCATCCCTGGGTGCACAATATCCGTCGACGACACCGTCACCGTTCTGCCATCCAGTGTTGGTGCGTGTACTGTACAACCACATAAGGCCTAACGGGACAGAACAGTCAAGATTAGTAACTTGATTTCAAAGTGCATTTACGCCGTTAATGAGAAAACGTAATGACTTACATCTCGGAGCGGGACCTTGGCGGTGTAAACAATATCTGAGCCTTCCCGTTTGAACACAGGGTGTGGTTTGTCCTTCAACACAAACACAATATCTGCTGGAATGTTTCTTGAAGTCTCGTCCCCTTCTTTAGCGAACGTGATTTTGGTTCCTTCTTTCCACCCCTTCCTTATCTGAACCTCTAGGATCTTCTCCTCTGACCGTGTTGATCGTCCATCGGGGTTCAGTCTTTTGCGAGAAATCTTCATTTTCTTTGTGCAGCCCGTCAACACTTCCTCCAACGACACTTTGAGATCACGAACCACCGCTGGGTCCTGCTGCTTCTTCACGACACTTGTGTGACCAGCCATTCCACTCATGCCCGGACCTCCCATGTTCGGGTTGAAGGAGCGCGAGAAACCGCCCATTCCACCTCTGCCCATCCCGAATCGAGAAAATGGGTCATCAGTGTCCATGTCCTCGGTCATACCTCCATTGCGAGCACCAAAAAACTGCTCAAAGGGGTTGCAGCCACCGAAGAATTCAGCAAAGATGGCATGAGGGTCGCCCTGGAAGGTGTAGCTGTAGGTCCCGGGACCACTGTTACCAGTGGGGCCACCACCTCCTTTAAGCCCTGAATGAGAAAAAACAAACAAAAGCTGGTAACTATTTTAATACTAGCAGAGATCGGATTTTTGCATGAAGCTGGGGTGCATGGTTTCACTTTAGAGTTTAAATTAAATTTAAATTCCAGACGTTGATAACTATTTTATTATTTTTAATAGATTTTGGGCCGCCCAATGGACAGTAAATTAGCATAAATAAATACTTCAGAATAAAGAAAAACGTTGCTCACATTTACATTATTGTTTTTTAACATGGTGTCGACTCAAACACAAGGTTCATTTTGAGAAACTTCCAATTCCAGTGTAAATAATAAAAATAAGGTAATTGCATCTTGTAGTTCACTGGTTGCACAAAGTATGCAAAATATGGCAACCGATTTGCATTTATTTAGACATCTTTAAACTGTAAGCAAAACATGTGAATGTAAGAACTATGATAATAATTTGAGTTATTCCTCATCATCATCAACGTCAAGATTTTTGTCCGCACGTTTTCAAAGCAATGAAGCAAATTTATTGAAATGAAGCCACATAAATTAAAAAGCATGCAACTAATTTACACAGCATTAATTTTACTTGAGGGTATAATAACGAACCCTCACAGTAATGTTTACTGTTTAGGCACCACCATGTGGAGAAAACCCAAAACATTCAGGAGGTCTGCTGGACACCTAAACTTTTTAAGAATTTATTTGAAAATGTTAACTCTAGAATAATTAAAACGACAGTTATATCCTTTTAATATAAGCAGCATTGCTCAAAATTATTGCTCTTTTACTATACTGGCTACTTCTATTCCACTAAATTCATTTAGAGACAAACATGAATTTCAAGTCTGAAGATGTCCCACTTGAGACACGATAGTAACACAAATACCACAATGGGGGGGAGGGGGATACATACACTGTCGGTCAGTATAATTTATAACAATAAAATTAAGCAAATTATCAACACGAATAATAAAAAAAGACGTTATCGAACCAGCCTCTTCCCATAAAAACTGCGTATCTTCCTGCAACGATTTATCGGTTAAACACTCAGGTTGCCATTTTGGGGTCTTTAGTCTTTTTTGACTTTGACGGGCGCCATGACACACAACAAAAGTTAAACGAAGCATTACATTTGACTGAATTGTTTAGAAGTCTTACCTTCTTCACCGAAACGATCGTAGATATCTTTTTTCTTAGGGTCGCTCAAAACGTCGTAAGCCTCGGCGATTTCTTTGAATTTGTCCTCGGCTCCTGGCGACTTGTTCTTGTCGGGATGGTAGCGCAGCGCCTGCTTACGATAAGCTTTCTTTATGTCGTCCTCCGACGCTCCTTTCTTAATTCCCAAAATGTCGTAGTAGTCCTTGCCCATTTTGACCGTCCAGCGGCCTGTGAAGAACAAGCGTTAAGATATCTGAGCAGCAACTTCCTATAAGGCTCGGTATGGTGACACGTCCAAACTAAGCAGTAAGGGCTCCACGTTTTCTTTATAAACAGCGTGGAAACTTCCAGACTTTTCCATACGGTGCCTGAACGATCTACACGATAACGTCACATCAAAGCCACGCCCAGTAGAAACGTCGTGCTGCTTTCAATTACTGTCGGATTTTTTTCGCCGCTACACAAAATACTCAATCGTTTGCCCAGATATTAACACAAGAAGCGCGTACGTTGTGCCAGTTTTAGTAATCATTAAATAGGAACATTCAAGTATTCTACTGCAGTCTGTGTGAAAATTTAAAAGCAAATGTTGTTGCTTAAGAAAATATCTCTTACTAACCGTGAATGTCGCATATTTAACTTCAAAACACTCCTTGTTTACCAGAACAACTTTAAAACTATGTCATAAATAAATCTGTAATCCTTCCTAATGAAGCCTTCATGAACCCTTTGAAATGTTGGGTTAAAAAAATGGGTGTGGCCCTGATGGAGGCTAACTAAATTCCTTTCTGCAGACTGACTCACATGGACATATTTGGTATTCTTTTCCTGTAAGAGCACTGTGTAAATCTCTAATATTCACATTGTTTTAGTGCATTGGGTGGGTTGAAAGAAAACAGAGCAAAAAGCAAAGGATGCAGCACATGCTACTTTTAATAGAATGAAACTGCCTTGGTTGGCATACAACCCTGCACAAGCCTTTCAGCTGTCATCAATCATTTGAAGATTTATCACACTGTTTTTTTTTTTCATACAGGTAAGCTTGAAACAAGAAGCAATCGATGCACTAATCACGTTATTACCACTCAAGTTATATCACACCTCAGCTTGAACAGTATGATTAAAACTATTCAAGTTTGGCAAAAGCGATGAAGAGACAAGAATGGTAATTGTGTTTTTAACAAAATGAGATATTAATCTAACAAAGTATATGTAAAGTTTGATTAAATTTAATCTGTGCAGGGTAATGTGTGCAGCACTATTTAAACAAAAATGCATTCAAAATGGAAAAAAGTTATAATAAAAAGCTGTAATTTTGACCTGCTGGTTTGAAATGAGTTTACAAATCCTTCAGGTTCTATTAAGCAAATCAAAAAGTTTAACACTTTCAACTTTTGCCCAAACTTATGGTAACAAATAGAATTGAGTTTACACACTGATAGCATGACATAAAGTCTGTATCAGAAAGGTATGTTTATTGTTCCAGTTTTTAATCTTAATTTGCAGGGTTTTAACTATTCGATGTTGTATTTAAAGTATAAATAATTTGGCATGTTTTTATTTAAGCTATTTAAAGGCTGTTAAGAGAAAAAAATATTTAACACGTACAGTGAATTTGCAGTGTACACAAACTTTTATGTTGCAAAAGTGAGATTAAAAATATTTGGAATTTGGAAAGAATAATTTGGATAAATAGTCACAGAGCTGGTTATTTTACCCACTGCATATAAAAAAAATGTTCAGAGTAATTAATCGCCTTTCCATTTGCTCAAATTTCATTGGCTAAAATTTGACAAGTGGGCGGGTTCGCCTGATTTATCCTAAATCTGATTGGTTGTAATGAGCACGTCCTATCCGCCCACCTCGTCGTCAGAGCGGTAGGTCTGACCGTTGATTGGACGTCGCTCCGTCACTCAGGCTATCGAGGAAGAGGTACGAACTGCCGAGATGAAGCATTACGAGGTAAGAATTGTGTCCATACATTTAATAAACCCTCGTATGTAAGCTTCTTTGAGACCAAATGTAATCCTCCTTTATAATTGTGATATTTTTCGTGGCTTTCTTCTTTGCTAACCCCACCAGTTTATTGCAAAATAGTAAACTCTAGCAGTAAATAACGCGAGCTAGGCATAAACCGCCAATCACTGACTGCTTGCTAGCTGCTTTGTAAACAGGTTTCGTGTTATTATTACTTAAACTCAAGAGCAACACGGTACCTAAAACCTCTGCAGCACTTACAGACCTAAATTTGCATTTTATATTTGGTATAAAACTTCAATCTAAGCGAGCCTGCTAGCTAAAAAGTCTGTCTTGTGCGAGATATCCGCACCATCAACGCCATCTCTGGCAGGAATGGTTCATGGCGCCTCGTATCTTGTTCTCTTACCCAATGTTGCAGGTGAAGAGTCAAGTACGCAATCTCTTCTTTTTTATCTACACATTGAATATGAGCTATTATCTGTTTATAATAAAATGTTCAGGTCAAAAAGTTAATGAGGTACCTAGATGGAAAGATTCACCCTGAACCAATCAGGCATGACTGGTTTCAAACTTGTGTTTTTTATAATTATATTTAAGAAGGTTTTGTGGAATATTTAATTTGTTTACAGTTTCATAAGCATGTTAAACCCATCAGACAGGATTTGAAGTACAAGGAGTCTAAACTGACACAGCCAGTGGTTTCTCTGGTCCCCCGTCTTTCTGTCAACATGTAGGGGAGGAACAATATTTAATTAAATAGGAAATGTTCACATAAGTCTGTCATATTTGGTTAAAAATCTTTTTTCATTTTAATTTTATACAGTATCTTCTAGAAATATGATGGAAGCTGTAACATTTGCCTTATAATATTGCCTTGGCTTAAGCCCATTTTTAAAAATTAATTACAATACAATCAATAAATGTTGAAACCAATTCTGAACATAATTTTCAAAAAGAACACACAATCCTTGTAAAAAAAAAAAAAAAATCCTCAAAATAAGTACCTTGATTTCTGGGTCCTGCCCTCTCCCCCTTCGACTCCTCTGAGGCAGCCATAGCCAAAGTGGTTCAAAACATCAAAGTTCTTGCTCAATAATCCAGAAACTAAGTCCAACAAAGTTCAGTCAGGTCCTCTGGATGGTTTCTTTCTTAGTTGAGACGTTTCAACCTTCATCCAAAGGACTTCATCAGTCCAAAGAGCCACAAGCAAACTCAGTCCCACAAGCAGCACACTCCCATAGTGAACCAACCAGTTTGCTGGTGATAAGATGGTTTCTGGGGCCCACCCTCTCCCCCGTCGACTCCTCTGAGGCAGCCATAGCCAAAGTGGTTCAAAACATCATAGGATGTTTGACAATTACTGGATGAGCTTGAACTTTGATGTTTTGAATAGGTCTGTCACGATAAATCAATTAATTGCATGATAAATGAAAATTATCAGCCTCGTTTTCATTTATCGGCTTTATCGTTTCTTCGTGTCTCTCTCTCTTTCTACTGAAGACACTGGATGACAAAAGGTTTAACTCCGGTGCTCTTCACTGACCCCTCCCTTTCTCTTTTCAATTTAAAATCTGTTGTAACCGTCCAAAATTGCGTTTTTGGATCATTAAAAGCAGCTGAGCTGAGAAGCTAAGCTAGCAGGCCGACCTCGGGAATAAACCTCCGTCTTGTCGAAGCTCCAAAATTTGCAGTCGAAATCCGTGCCTTCGCGTAAAAAGTTGTTTTTCTCTGCAAAAAGCAGCTGAGAACTTGTTTACTGATTTCTTATTAAAAGCTTTATGTGAAAAATGTTATGCTAAAGAGCACAATTCACTGAGCGTCCACCATGTCGCCATGGCAACCCATGTCATGTCAAGGGCCCTCCCTCCTATTTTTCTTGGAGACATTTTGCTCAACTACCCACTCTTTTGTTCAGTCTTGTACTGCCATCAGGTGGTCAAAAAAGGTACTACACGCCAAACAAATCAACATTTCTTCTAAAATTTGACAATTATTGTTAAATTTCAAACGATATTATCGTTTATCACAATAATTTCTGAGATAGTTAATCGCCCAGCAAAATTTGTGATCGTGACAGGCCTAGTTTTGAACCACTTTGGCCATGGCCTCAGAGGAGTCGACGGGGAGATGGTGGGCCCCAGAAACCATCTTATCACCAGCAAACTGGTTGGTCCACTATGGGAGTGTGCTGCTTGTGGAACTGAGTTTGTTGTGGCTCCTCGGACTGATGAAGTCCTTTGGATGAAGGATGAAACGTCTCAACAACAAAAAAAAGAAACCGTCCAGATGACATCCTGATGCATGCTCAATGTCCAGATGACCTGACTGAACTTTGTTGGAATTACCTCCTTTTTTTGTTGTTGTTGTCTTTTGAAGTCCGCTAGTTATTTTTGTTATCGTAGAACACACAATATTTCTTTAGGGGTTTTCCATTCTAATTTAAAATCTAAAATTGTTTCCAACGTTTGGATTTTGCGTCGGATTTTCAAACCGTGCTTCAAAGACATGAAGCACAACAATAAATTGTTATATTTTTGGCTTATGAAAAATGAGTATAGCAAATGGAGCAGTCGCTAAGAAAATTAAAAATATTAACAATTGCAGTTCAGTAGGCACTCGCTCAGCATGACCTCAGTAGGCCAGCCTGACCTTCCTCACAATGACAGTATTTTCCCAACAAAGGACACGTTCCACCATGTGTTTAGTCTGCTTGACAAGCACTATTGTTTCTCAGCTGACAGCTCCACTTAACTCATGTCTGCATCGACTGGATCAACTTTCACTGCCTCGTTTCTCGCTGTATGATTCAACGTTAATAAAAGTGATTTATTGATGATATTAGACTGAAGGTGACTAGTGCAAACTTTTCAAAAAGGTTCAAACCACCATGTTTGTTTATTTTTATATTGATGAAAATGTATTTTATTTCTAGTTCAAAACCTCAGTAGAGAAGCAGAAGGGATGATCTGTTATTTTGATCTAATGTAGGTAAAGTTAATTTTATTAAATCAAAAAACCAACATGGACAATAGTCCACCTTGCACTGTTACACTATCAAGAACTTCTTTAATAGGTTCTTATTTTGTTACGTCACAAGACAAAGCTTCGAGTCTGTGGAAAATATTTGTAGAAGACCACTCATCGTCACCTCAGAGCCTAAAATGTTCAGTTGCTCAGGGAATAACAAAACTGCCCGGGTAGAGATTACAAAATGCTACTTTGAAAAAAAAAAAAGCTATCTGACAACCAAAGATGGCTTCTTGTGTAGTCAGATTTTATATTGTTAATAAACTTTGTGTTGACTTTAATCATGTTAAGTATTGGTTGTGATGTTCAGGGTCTTTGGAAGCTCTGTAGACCAATAATTGATCATTTTATTCAAACTATTTGAATAAAATGAATGAAGCTGAAGGGTGATTAAGATACATAAAGTCCTGTTTGCCGTGCCACTTAGCTTTGATCTATGAATATATATGATGTTAGGAATATTTTAAATTGAATCTTTAGAATTTTTTTTACTAGCAGCCTGTCACAAACGACACAATTTTATTCTCAATGTTTAATTTAAATCAATATGAAATGCTAAAGATAACACTTTGGCTTTTGCAAAGTTTAAAGAAAAACTTTTGAAAGACCTTTAACAGGATTACAAGAAAGTGGCTTTTTTGAAGGCTAAGATAAACAAATTGGGGGGTAAACCCTTTACACAGTAACACCACCAAAAGCATTTGTTAAAATATAAAATCTCACTGGTTTCATTTTAAACTGATACTGTTATTTTCCATTTGGTTAATTTCATAAGTTGTAAACGGCGATAGATAGCTAAAACCTCAGTGGTTTGCTTTGCTCATTTATGCATCTAAGAGTTTGTAAAAAGTACATCAATCCTAAATTCTCAACAAATTCATAAAAAAACAACAACAATTTTTTACCTTAAAGCCAGAAGTGCTCTTCAAGCTAGCAAAGTTGTAAATCTAGTTGATGTGCGTTTACAGTCCGTCGCAGCAGTTCGAGTTGGCTGCTTTACCCTCAGCCCCAAATGCATTACCTGCTTCAGCTGCCACATGCCAGTAGTTTTATTTAGACGGGATGGGGGGGAGGTACCGTGGAGTCAGGTCTGCTTGGCACAAGGGGGGTTATGGTTTCCCTGACGTTTCAGCTAAAGTCACATGTCCTGTATTTTTATGCATTGCTGTTTTTTAGGCAGATAATCCAAGTGACACTGAGTCTGAAGTTATCCAGGACGTCAGGATAAGATGGATGCATGAATATTGAATTAATGGAATTAAGAAAGTTACTTATTTATGAATTAAAATCCAAAAACGAAGCAGATGACCTTTACTTCCCTGTGCATAGAGGGATAGCACTTGGGTCAGTCTAAAAACTTTTCCCCAGCTCTTTGTCTTAAGAGACAGGAGGCAGGAGTGGGCTTCACTCTGGGGATTGCCCCTCACTAATCCTCGAGTATCTGGGGGATTACTTCATGTTGGCTGGGAAAGAAGTGACTCTGCAAGCCTGTTACTGATAGATCTAGTTGTTCAGCTGAGTTTCAAACGTACAACACTCTATAAAACTACACAGGCTGTGTGATGGAGATCTTAGTTCTGGTGTTTTAAGTGCTTAAAGATGGACCAGTTAGTTGAATGTCAGCAAGCTGTGATCCACAGTAAACCGATGACATCACTGCATAGATCTTTGCGGAGTCTGTTGGGAGAGGGCTGGATATGCAGGGGTAGCACGAGGTGTTTATATTTAGCTGTGGAGAAGAAGACCGGGTCAAGTGGGGATTGCTGTTTGTTATAATACCTCTCACCTATACTCCAACCTAGTGTTAAGGGTCATCAGGTGTCTGTTTTTAGGGAAGAGACATTTCACAACTCGTTCATTGCGTCTTTGACAAGACATTGCACTGTTTGACATTACCAGTAGATGTTTATTTCACAGAGTATACACACGGATGACTGTTTGCCTTTGAGGATGCTGGGCATTCCTGCAGATGCAACTGTTTCCCCACGTGGCTACGTTTGAGTGCCATGGGGCTGTCTGGCAGTTAAATAAAGCGACGCACAAGAAGTGAAGGAATGAGCGATAGACTGAGAGGGAGGGAGAGTTGAATGAAGAGGGCGGGTCGGAGGAGTAGGGGGCGAGACAGATTTATTTCCACAGCTGAGTGCTGCCCCTCTCCCATCCATCTTTGCATGGATCTGGGATTCATGTTGCTGGAAAACTGAGGGTAAGAAGAAGGGGAACAGACTGAGAGCAGGAGGAGAACTGGGGACATGGATGCCTTAGCACTAGAGGCCACTGGTAGTAGAAGGGCTACTGTTGCGGCGGTGACTGCCCCGTTGCCAAGTCAAGCTCCGGCAAAACGCAAACCTGCTAAAAAAGCTAAAAAGGCTGTTGTCTTTTTTGAGGTGGAGATACTGGATGCCAAGACCAAGGACAAGCTCTGCTTCCTGGACAAGGTAAGGACTCAATCTTCTTATCTGTATTTTTGTTATTTTTAATCAAAGTAATTTCAATCATTCTTTAACACCCTGAGCTTTTTTAGATCTATCTCTGAGCGTTTAGTCATTCATGTCTTTGTCTTGCGTTTATGTTGACCAAAAGCAGCATATAATGTATATTCAGTGTAGCATTACAATAAACAAATGTTTGTATGAGAATTAGTTGTTTTAGCCAAACATTATAGCGCTGCAAGTTTTACTTTCCGTCAGTGGTTATTTAGCCTCTCAGTGTAAAAGAGGAACAGAATGGAGTGTGTTTCATACATGTAGCGTTGCACTGCTGGGTTTAGTTATTGTGGTAACTTGCAGGAGTACACAACCAATATAAAAACTATATATTTTTATGATTAAAGTTTAACTTTTTGGATTAAATTATATATTTGAGTCAAGTTGTTTATGTGCATTATTTGTAATACTGTAAACATTAATTATAGTGCATAGTTAATGACGGACACAAAGAATGTCCCAGTTCCATGTTTTAGTCAGAAATTAACACCTAAAAGCGTGTAGGGATTAAATAGTTTGTTTTTTAGCCGAGTTATTGAACCCCTTCAATGCTAAATCTTTTAGTTTGTTAAAATAGCTTGAAAGGAAAAGCTCAGGATGTTCATTTTGAAATACCGGTAGCTCGTATTTATTTTACAGTTTTGTTTAATGAAAAATGTAGTGGCGTGTATGTATCAAGAAGTATCATGGAAATGCCCCAGTTTGGAGTTTTCTTGAAGTGTCTTTTTGCCTGAGCTGACTTTATCAGCAGCTTGTGGTGTGTTCAGTCAGCCAACCATTCACAGGAGGTTAGTCCTGCAGCTGATCCAATCTATCACCAATAATGTCAGACTGACTTGGTGACTTGGCCTCTGAGCATCCTCACTCTTTATCTGCTATACATTTAGACATTATGGTAACTATCCATCCATCCATCCATCCATTATCTTTACCCGTTTATTCCATTTTGGGTCACGGGGGTCGCTGGTGCCCATGTCCAGCAATCACTGTGCGAGGGGCGGGGTACACCCTGGACGGGTCGCAAGTCCATCACAGGGCCACATAGAGACAAACGAGACAAACAACCATTCACTCTCTCACTCACACCTAGGGACAATTTAGAGTTAACAATCAGCCTAACATGCATGTTTTTGGACTGTGGGAGGAAACCGGAGCACCCGGAGAAAACCCACGCATGCACGGAGAGAACATGCAAACTCCACCCAGAAAGGCCCCTGGACCGGGGTTTGAACCAGGGACCTGCTCGCTGAGAGGCAGCAGCTCTACCAGTTGCGCCACCGTGCTGCCCATTATGGTAACTAATTAAATACAATATAGGACAATTACTAGTCAGTCTACGTTCCTACCCTCACCTATGGTCATGAGCTCTGGGTAGTGACCGAAAGAATGAGATCGTGGATACAGGTGGTTGAAATGAATTTCCTCCACAGGGTAGCTGGACTCTCCCTTAGAGACAGGGTGAGAAGTTCAGTTATCTGGGAGAGACTCGGAGTAGAATTGCAGCTCCTCCACATCAAGAGGAGCCAGTTGAGGTAGTTCGGACATCTGGTAAGGATGCCCCCAGGGAGCCTCCCTGGGGAGGTGCTTCGGGCATGTCTGACTGGGAGGAGACCCCGGGGAAGACCCAGGACATGCTGGAGAGACTATATTTCTTGGTTGGCCTGGGAACGCCTTGGGGTCCCCCCAGAAGAGCTGGAAGAGGTGGCTGGGGAAAGAGATGTCTGGGCCTCCCTGCTCAAACTGCTGCCCCTGTGACCCGGCTTTGGAATAAGTGGAAGGTAATGGATGGATGAATGGATAGTACAATTATAGTTTTCTAATCTCAAAAGGAAGAATTATTGAAATTATTTGGAGAACTTTTTCTTGTGCAAAATTATCAAGTCTGATTCTTAGTTCATGGTCATATCCTTCTTTGCAGTAATAGTATTTTTGGTTTGACTTCTCATTTAGACTTAGTGTTGTGTGTTTGCAGTTATGAGTAAGAAAGATTAATTTTGGTTACTTCTGTTGCATTAGAAGGGTTTGTGTTTTGACGTTATGAAGCCTTTTGTGTATACTGTAGAGTTACATTCTTGGTGCTGTCAGCCAGATTAAACTTTGCTCTCCAGGGTTACACAGTATAAGATGTTATCCTAGTGGATTATATCTTGTTGTTGCTTTAGTAGGTTTTCATCATGGTGAAACATCCACAGTCTTACCATCTTTAGAAATGCAGATTTAAATATTTGACAGATGTAGATTTGAATCTACAGGAGGTTGGCTTGAAACCCAGCAATGAAGGCTACTTATGGGACAGATTTGTTTGGTAGGCCGCAGATTGACAAAGTCTTCCGAATGGGAGACGAAACTTTTCTCAAAGAAACTGGTCCAGATGACATGATTGTTGTTATCTACCTGGATGATTGAGTTTACAAACCTTTAATCTAGACAGAGGTCCTTTAGAGGATTTGTTCCTTAATTAGGCCAACAGAGCTGAGTTAGAAATAAAACTCGGTGTATATAGAACAGAAATGTAGACACACTAATACATGGAGCCTTTAAGATGGGAGTACCATGGTGGCTTTTTCAAACGGGTTTTGGACTGGTGTTAAAGCTGGTTTAACTGTAGAACTGGTTAGCGTTTCCACAGTCAGACGCCTCGATACCATTTCATTACATCACCTAAAGTGTCTCTTACATGTTTAAGTTTCCTGAACTTCTGCAGAGGACCACACTGAAAGGAGACCAAATCTCAAAACTGATATTGCCTTATATTCCAAACACATGCTTAATATCACAACTAAACGCTGTTATAATCAGTAGTCAGTGTGTTTTTTTAAAAACTCTGCTGGGAAATGGAAATCTGCCCATTAGTATAAACTTGATCTATAACAGGGTGATAGAAAAACACTTTACAGTGTGTTGAAATGTCCCGAAGGATGTCTTGGCATTTACTTACTTATGCACATCAAACTGGCATTTGCTGCATTCAGTCCTTCAAACAGATACTTACCAGTTTAGCACTGTGACCACCAGAGGTCTAACATCGGATCACTTTGATTCCCCTACCCTGCCTCTTCATACATGGTAGAAATGCACAACAGTAGAAAATCAGCTCAGCTTGATTAGTGATGTGTAGCTGCTATTATAGCACCAGTTTCCTTCACCCAGATCCAGGACTTTTGATACCCCAACAGAAAGACCTAGCTCTATGTGAGACAATCGACACTGGACCTCAAAGTTCAGCTTTAGGGATGTCTTCCTATTGGGAATATCAAGAGGTCCTTGATGGACTGATAACAGAAACCTAATTGATTACTGTATAGCAGCTGACGTCTTGTGATTTAAAATCTGTTATGAAAATCTCTTTGACAGCTGCTGCTGAAAGCACTGTACATACTGTGTCTAAACTGAAAATTGTTTTATGCCATCCTGGTTCTGCGATTTGTGCAGCATTATGTTTTTGTACTACTTTATTCCGGTATAACTTTGGCGGTTTATGTTGCATGAGAGTAACTCATGTTGAGACTTTTCAGCTGCCATGCTTGTATGAAAAGAACACTATACCAAAGTCTGGGTAAAACCTACCCAGATTGTCTCTGGAGCTCATTAATATAAGTTAACCTGCTACTAACTCAAGTGTAATTCCATGTTCATCAGCAGTGGAATCAATTAAGAACCTAAATATTTCATAATTTCTTAAAGAAAAACATTTAGTTATGAAGTAGACTTTTGAGAATTACTTTAATCCGCTTCTGTCTTTTCATGGACATTTTTCTGTATTCTGTAATAGCATCACGTGTCCATATCTGTGTTGTGTGCTCCTTGTGTTTTAGTTATATGTATTTTTTTAAGCTGTAGTCCGACTGCACGGCACAAGTATGCAGGGGTCGACATAAGTGGTTTTGGTTTGTCCGAGACAACCTATTTTCATCTCAGACAACCAGATCTCACCTCGAGGTTGTCCGGTGGAAAACCAACTGAAATAGACATGAATTAAAGTCGCCGTGACGGCTTTCCGTCATCTGTAACAATCAAAGAGGGCAACCTGCGTGCGTGACCAACCGTCTGGTCTTTAAGGAAACAATGCGGGAGCGTGCTCAGCCTGTTCACATGTGATGTGGGTCTCTGTTTAATTTTCCCCCAAACTCACAAAGTTCTTTCCTTGAGAGAGTTAGTTTCAGATGTTTGTAGTTTATCATAAATATCTGCACAGTTCTGTTCTAAACTGCGTTTTGGCAACAATAAGTTGTTTTGGCCGTTTGGATGAGCTAAACTTGATTATATTTAGAGCTATACTGAGAGGTAACCATACTATGATAAATGCACTTCAATAAATGATCAATTAAGAAAAATAACTAGTGTTAAATAAGCAGAAATCCTCTAAATATAATCCCTTTGAATGAAATGATCATCTTTGGGGAAGAATCTGTCAAATTTATTTATACTCTGCCAAGTACTTCCTGTACTATAATATTTTAAAATGTATCTGATGATCCCTTAATTGAAAACACTGAAATGACAGAAAAGTAAAGTTGTTCATTCTCTTTCGCTCTCAACGAAGACGGTCACTTTCACCTGTTCCTCCCTCTCTCCTGCTTTTTTGCTCTCCTGTTCTGTGAACCTCCTCAGAGCCACTTTTTACACACCTTCCAAATCAAAAATTATTATGGATCTGGTCAGCTGGTCTCTCAACGCAATTGATAAAAAAATTTCTACCAGAAGACCGGGTGCAGGAGAGCCCTCATGCCCTGAAGGGACACACGCAGCTTGATATGTCATGGATTCCTGGAGTGTTTGGAAGATGATGTCCCCGTCTGTGCTGTCTGTTGAAGACGTAGAAGACGCATACTTGGATTTTTGATAACAGGGTTTCTGCTTTTTGGAATCGGCGGATATTTGGGTCGTCGGCTAATGAGGAAGACGTCTGCAGCAGTTTTGGTAATAGTAAAGCTGCTTGACTTATATGGGGGATTGCTCCGCGCTTTGAGCACTTAGACTAATACGCTTTGCAAGCTGAACCGTAGGTTGGACTTGATTTCTGAGAATCGTGGGCCACTTGCTGCTCCTAGGACTCGCTGGCATGAAGGATTCGACTTTAAAGAAGGCTAATGAGCACGTACCGATGGAATGTCCATGGAACTGGCTGTTTGGATTCAACATCAAGTGTACCAGCAGAACTGAAGGTAGACGTGTCGGTAGAGTCGGACTGCCCAAAACAATTGTTGTTTATCGGAATGTTTCCTTCCTGCTGGCCTTCGATAAGCCAACGTATCTCAAATTGCTCCTGGAGGATACGTAAACTAAGAAGCTGTGGCTGCCCCGAGGACACATGTGGGTCTTATCAGAATTGTGCCGCTGATAGACACTGTACCATCACATTCAGAACTTTTGAACTTTCTGGAGTGTCCATGGACGACTCACCGCTTTTGTTGACCTTCTATGCATAAATGTATTATGATGTCATTGTATGTTGCTGCTTATGTTGCAAGGTCTTTTTTTTTTGCATCTTTTACACTTTGCCCCAGCCAGGACATGGTGTGAGACATGATTTTTTTTTTTTTTTTTTACTTCCTCCATCCTTGTGTTCTCTTTTCCTCATCTACTCTGTATGTTGTATGTAACAGGTCTCTTGTAAATGAGTCCCTGAGGCTCAATGGGAACTAATTTGTATAAATAAAGGTCGAATGAATGAATGTTCAAACCCCCTCAGAATGCTGTTGGTCTTGATGGTGCAGGTCGTCTTACAACTTCAGCCATCAGCTGTTCATTAGAAAGCATTATACTGTGTACTTTTACTAAGGTTATATACACAGTATACTCCTCCTTACGTGAAAACCTTTGAGAAGTGACCTCAAATGTGTGGATTGGGTTGGGGGGGCGTGTGCTTGGGCAACCCCTAGATGTAGAAAATTTCTAATCATAATATATATTTTTTTGCTTTAATACCGTAAATACGCTGCGGGTGCCTCTCTTGCAAAGTCTGATGACGAGGAGGAAGATGAGGAGAACGAGGAAGTTCCACTCCAGCAGCTCCTCAAAGAGTCGGCCACTCAGCAGCTTGGAAACGCCACGCTGTCCACGAGATGGCTGACTGAGAACATTTATACGTAGTAAACTTTGTTTATAGTGCAATATTATTAAATTCAAACATTCTAGAAATGTTGTACCTTCTTTATTATAAAAGTTGCAGACAACCAGCTTCTGTCAAGAGGTTGTCCGCTGGACGACCTGGAAAATTTCCTCACGTCTGTGTATGTGTAGTATGCAGCAGTATGCAATAGTATGCAGTAGTATGCAGCAGTATGCAGCATGTGTATTTTGGATGTGTTTATGTGTGTGTCTGAGTTCTTCTAAATCCTAATACCAGTTGTTAAAAAGCTCACGTTCATACGGGTGTGTGGTCACAGTCAGAGCTATATTTACCTCTAATCTCCAGCATGAGTGGCAGCAGGACTATTTTATCTGCTCCTTTGTGTGTGAGTCGGTGTGTTTTTGTTGACGGTGGTGTCACTTGTAGGTCGAGCCAAATGCCACTATCGGAGAGATCAAGTCTATGTTCCACAAGAGTCGTAAGCGCTACCTCTTTGCTTCTATCAATTTATTTCAAGATAAAAAAAAACAAACTCCAATGTAAGTAGGTTTTCATGCTCTAACTGCAAGTTATTTGTTTCTAGATCCTCAGTGGTACCCAGCCAGACAGTCGATCCGCCTCGACCCCAGTGAGTTTGATAAATGTGATAATTTATAATTCATAGTGAAGCTGGTGTTGTGTTCTTATTTCGATCCACTCATTAAACCCTTGTGTGTTTATGTCAGAGGGGAAATCTCTGAAGGATGAAGATGTTCTGCAGCATCTTCCTGTAGGAACCACAGCTACCTTCTACTTCAGAGACCTGGGAGCTCAGATCAGCTGGGTCACGGTGAGTACGAGACGCAGGCGTGCCCACACGGAGACACGTTGTGCCGACACAATCAGGTCCAACAGCTCCGACAAGCTCAAACACATGAGAGCACAAGTGGGATCAAGCACATGTATATTGAGTTTTCCCTCTCAAAGGTGTTTGCGTTGCAGTAGTCCCTGTGCCCTTGAGGTTAATATGCTGCACAGAACGGTAACAGTTAAAGTTGTTTAACTCTTACAGGGACTGGTTACTGTTACACAGCTTGACTTGCAACAAAACCTCTTTTCCTCTCTGAAAATCTTTTAAAAGTCCATTCACGCAATATAAAAAAATACTATCATAACACAATTCTGAATAAAAGCAGAACACATAAACTGTGCAGCAGTACCAAACACTTAAAATGTTCTAAACCCCCTTTACCTTGACAGCCCAAAGTGTCATTTGAAAATCACCAGACTGCAAAAGAATACTATATTCAAAGTAACAGCAGAATAAATTTAAATTCTCACTGCTATGCAGCAACAAATACTTGTTCTGCAGTTGTGTTCATGTTTAAACATTAAACTCTTATTTATATACAGTAGTTAGTACGGGCATCGTCTGCCATTTAATCAACAAGAGAATGCCTCATGGAGATCAAAACCACAAATATGTGTTACAGACAGTCCACACTGGTCTGAAGCTGCAGGGTTTCAATGCTTTCACTCTGGATGAGGTTTTTAGTGACTTCTAGTTGGATCAGTCGAATCATTTAAGAGTGTCCCCCGCCTCTCGCATTGTGACTGTTGGATATTGGTACCAATGACCCCCGTGACCTGAAAACAAGAAGCAGGTAAAAGATGATAGATGGATGACAACATTTAAGGTGGTATTGTACTGGGCTGTGACTACAAACAGTTCGTGAGAGAGTTATCCAGATGTCCTCAGTTTGTCCTTAAGCTTTAATATTAGTAAGTGATAACATCCATGACCTTTACCTACATTCCCCTGATATTGATAGAAGGATGTTAGAAATGCAGCTGCCAGGACAAAGACAAAGAGGAGATATATGGACGCAGTTAGAGAGGACATGGAGGGAGTTGGAGTGAGGACAGAGGATGCAGAGGATGGATGGAGGAGGAGGACTCGCTGTGGCGACCGCTGAAGATGGACAAGCTGAAAGAAGACGTCATAAATTGACTCATCTTGAGCGCAGCTGAATTGTGTTGTGGGCGTCTCCAACTCGTCTCTAGAGTTGTATTTTGATTCCTGCACAGAATCTCTTGTCTGACAGAAAACATCCAAGACAAAAGTGAAAGTTTAAAACCCCCGTGGATAATAAAAAAAAAAAAGTGGTCCAAATCCAAACGGTCTCTTTCGCTCCAACAGCTGTAGCTCAGTGAGATAACAACTTTATAAAATGCGTTTGTAAGAAATTATTTTCTCTTCGTCAAGACCTTGATTTCTGAACTTGATTTTATTCTGTTCCTTTGTTTTGTTTTCAGGTGTTTCTGACAGAATACACGGGCCCTCTGGTCATCTACCTGTTGTTCTACTTCAGGGTTCCCTTCATCTACTCGCCCAAATACGACTTCACCACCAGTAAACACTGGGTGGTTCAGTGAGTGTCTCCAACCTGTCTTCACTGTCCTTACAGGGTCACACATAGGAAGTACCTCATCCACACATTAAGTTGGAACTTTAGGAGACAAATGCCATCCGTGGAGTTGTCTCAGCATAATTCAGGGTCTGGTTTGTTGGTGATGCACACAGATTTACACACATCTAGGTTAGGTTCATATGCAGATCAACACAAGGTCAACAATGCAGTGAAATGCTCAGGACGAGAAGAACCGTCTCGACTCGCCAAAACAAGAACAAAAAAACAGGAAAAACCAAAGCGTGTAACAAAAATACAAAAACAAGGTGCCAAAAGTGAAACACATCTACAGCAGCATGGTCCTATTAGTGTGGTTCTGTTAGCACCCTGATGCTGTTAGCACACTGGTACTGTTAGCAGTGTGGTTCTGTTAGCAGTGTGGTTCTGTTAGCAGTGT